TGATCCTGTGACAATCATAGTTGAAGGCATTTGATTTAATACCTCCTGCACCCACTCTTGTTTGAATGGATTAAACTGTAACTAAGAACTAACAGGAATTATGCATATGAATTCCTTGATTATTCCTCCTTTGATTTTCCTCTACATCCCCTTTTTTTTCATTTGGTCTTCCTTATGTCAAACCTTAGTTCCTAGCCCTAAAACAGTGGTTCCCAACCTTGGGTCTTGGACTACAACTCCCAGAAATCCTGCCCAGCACAGCTAGTTGTGAAGGCTTCCGGGTGTCTTAGTCCAAGAACATCTGTGGAAGTTGGGAACCACTAAGATAAACTAGAGATGTACAAATTAGTGTTATTGGACTGCAGCCCACTAAATTCTCCAGGTAACATTGCTGTAGTCTTAAAACTACAAATAGGCACACCTCTGGTTCAGGCAAATTTCGTGATGTGAGCCGCTTCAATGGGCCAGAACACTATCCACTCATTGATGATGATATTAGAATTAAAGTACAATTTAGTGTGAAGAATGAATTGAAATATACTTGTTAGGAAGAAATAGCCAAAGGATTTTTTTGCTTCTGCACAAGAGCAAAAACATGAGCACTTTTTTGGATCAGGAGCAGAGGGTTGTCTTAGGGAAAAACACAACCTTGTATTTTGTGCAAAAGACTATTTTTCCCCCTGCAAAAAAGCACAATTATTTTACCCAAAGAAGAGGAAAGGAGACGCGAGGGCAAAAATGAAAAAAATGCACCAAAAATTCCCTAGTATGTTCCATCAGGGAGAAAACATTGGGAATTTCTTGGTCTAAGCAATAAGAACAAAATAAGCAAAAGGTGACATTCCAATCTCATACTGCAGCCATATGCCTTAGATGCAGCTTATGGTCTAAGCAGGGTGGAGGATTTTGAAGTGATGTGTTTCCCTGCTTGAACCATGAGTTCCCTGCCGTGCATCACCTTTTCACTAGTAGTGTGAGTCCTATAGAATTGCAGTCTACTGAAGAAATTCGCATCAAAACTGAAAAGACCTCAACTTGATTTGCTGTTGCTATTTCTCTAAACTAAAATACTGAGGCAAATTCTGAGGGGAAACATCAGATGAAGTTGTCAGGGCATGGAGAGAAAGGATTCCACACATCTGTGGAAGGGAATTTTCCTAGGGAATTATATGAACAAATAATACTCTTCAGTGCATAAATTGTGGCTGTATAAACCAAAGAAAGTACATATAAAACATTCTGTTAAAATTGTCCTATTCTTCATACATTTTTAAGAACTCCCCACCTTGATTCAAATTTGTTCCCAATGAATAAAGCTGGCCCTTAGCAATCAAGTAAAGCTTTAACGCCTGTAATTCCATATAAAATCAGTGGAATTCACTTCATATTTATGTCAGATTGCCACTGCATAGTTGACTTTCCCCATGTTTCCCCCCCTTTTTATTAGATGTGGACAGAAGAAGAAGCTTGTGATCAACAATGGCAAAGGAGGCATAGATGAGAAAAACGTGGGTGGTTTGAATGGAGAAGCCAGTAAATCTCAAGAAATGGTGCATCTGGTACACAAAGAGAAGCCAGAAGACCAAACAGGTTCACATGATGAATTTCTGGCAATTGATGAAACACAGAACCAACAAGACGTAGCCTTGAAGAGTGGCATATAAGAAAGCTATGCTGAGCCAATGGCATCAGAGTTGGGAAAAAGAAAACATCACCTGGAACTGGGACTAAAACTCACAAATGCAATGAGCTACTGATATATTTGAAGCATTATTAAGAATGCATTGTCTTCTCTATTTTCCTTCCTTTTCTCAATGGCCAGGTACAAGGTACAAATCCCATTTTCTCTTGGCCTATCTGCCATTGCATAATTTTGCCCAGTCCAAAATGGTGACTATGGTGTTACCAACATTATGCACCTCCCAGTTTCCATCTGTCATTTCATAAGGCAGAATGCTAGCTTTGAATTGTTTTCCTCCATTTGTGTCACTTTCATCATTATAAGTTTATGCAGCAACCGGAATTGGTAAGCCATTGAGACATCAGAGCAACAAGCATGTCCCTTAAGACAGATTCAGAAAGGCAAGCTACCTAGAGTGTTGTTATTAATCAGAATGGAGACTTGGGAACAGAAGTCCTTTTTTCACTTAGCCCTTCAGAATTTGTCAGATTTATTGAATCTCGCTTCTTGTTACTTTGGAATTATGCTCACCCATGATCAAATACCTAATGACAAATTTGTTCAGACACTCAAGGGTAACGTTATGGGGAAAAAACAGAAGGGGTGGAAGGAAAAGAATAAAATTGATTTTATAGCAAATAAATTTTTATTCTCTATAAGCTAAATCATTTGTGTTGTAATCTTTTAAGTTTCAAGTTTACTTGGTCCACTTGTAGGGTATATGGCTAACGTATTTATGTTAAATTAAATAGGTATCCACAGCACTTTATGAATGCTTCACAGGTTGCCAGTGGATGGGGTCCTGAAACCAAGAGTTCCCTAGCAACACAGGCCTGGGTTTTATCCTTGCTTCACATGCTGTTTCATACTTGTAGTTTCATAAATGCTTCGCAGGAACAAGAAATGCAGGTTAAAAGTTTGATTCAGAGATCTTTAAGAACCAAAAAATGTGTAGCACATTAGCAAAACTAATACAACCTCTCTTAATCAGCCTGGTTTTTTCATCTTATTTTGCATCTGCTGATGAAGTCAAGATCAAGTGATGCAAAAGATGAAATAATCACATTATTATTGTTAAAAAATTTTTTACACAACTTTGAGGAAATACATCTTGTTTTATCCATATTCTGTCAGATATTTCATATTTGTTCTGCTGAACAGAAATTTTATCCAGAACAAGATAGCAACAGTGGAAGGAGCATCCATCTGTCACAGTAAGCAGCAGCATATGATCACAACTTTTTATCTGGTGTAACAACTGCCCACAGTGAGCATTTATCAGACAAATGACCTACTAATACACTCAATACAAATGTTATGAAATATGTAGTTCACAAATATGTTGGCTGAAGGAAAGAGGCCTCAAAACCTGAGAAGAAAGTGAAAGATGAATGTTGTGATGGCTGATAATGTAAAACAGTTGCAAATGTATTGCTGCTTTTCCTTGCTGTTTTTAAAGTCCAATTTACTAGAGTTGTTCTTTTTGTATCTAGCTAATTTTTTTTTGCTACAACAGTATTATTAATTTGTTGTTATTATGTGCAATCAAGTTGTCCCCAACTTATGTCAACCCCATGAATGAGTGACCTCCAAAATATCCTGTCTCCAACAGCCCTATTCACCTACTGCAGATGCAAGCCTGTGGATTCCCTTAAGAACTGATTCCATCTTGTATTGGGTCTTCCTCCTTTCCAGCTGCCTTCACCTTTCCCAGCATCATTGTCTTTTCCAGAGAATCCTGTCTTCTCATGATGTAGCCAAACAAAAGTTTCAACACTTTTACCTCCAGAAATAGTTCAGGTTTTAATTGATCTAGGACCTACATGTTTGTCTTTCAGGCAGTCCAGGGTATCTGCAAAGCTCTCCTCCAGCACCACGTTTCAAATGAATCAATTTTTGTCCTGTCAGCTTTCTTTACAACCCAACTTGCACATCCATACATGGTGATTGAAAATAGCATGGATATTCTTGAACTTCCTCTCCCGTGACACATCCTTATACTTGACGGTCTTTTCTAGTTTTTTATGAGTTTCAGTCTTCTGATTTTCTTGGCTGCAGTCTTGCTCACTGTTATATCTTACACATGATCATACTAATCTAGGAAAGGAGATCTGCTTACAGTATGTCACTTCCGTCCATTCAAAGTTACATCTGAATATTTATAAGCTACTATTATCCCAAAGCTTGTCCGGATTCATTGTTTTAGCTGAACTTTGTGTGGAGGCAGGTGTGTGAGCAGGGACACAAATTCTGATGAATCCTAAAAAATCCTAAAGTAGCAGAGGAACCTCCTGCAGTAAGAATAACTCAGAGCAACCGAAGATAATATTAAGGCCATGAAGATTTTGAAAGGACGTTTAACCAAAGCAGAATACATCTGGAATAATATAGAGACAGCATGGACCAAATGTCACTTCCCAGTCAAGCCTCCTACAGATTGGCCCAACGGTGTCTCCCCCCCACACACAACCATTTTAGTCTCATTTCAACGCTTGCTAGGCCTGTTTTAAGACTGAAAACATCTTTTTTAGAAAACTGAAAGTGACCAACACTCTAAGTCTGGAAATGGCTTGTGAACCCTCAGATGTTCCACATTCTCTTTAGTTGTTGTACAAGTTACATTGAATAGGATCTGACAGAAGTAGTAATTTGGGGCAGGGTGGGGCAGTGAGTGTATTGTATTTTTGGTATGTTATGTATACATAGTACCCAATGTGGTTTGATGGGTTAGAACTCTGAAGACCAAGACTCAAATACCCAGTTGACCATGGAAACTCATTGGGGTGGTGAAAGAACTGGTAAAACCACTCTTAAAATATCTCATTTACCTTGGAAGCCTTGTTAGGGTTGCTAAAAGTTGCTAACATGACATCACATAACTATGTATAAAAAGCACATGGAGTTGAACTTCCAATGGTTGTATTAGCCCTTCATTTGGACAGAATTAGATTATTTTCTTGCTTGTATCATTTGAATGGATTTGGTAGGTTGATACTGCATCCGATTCTGATCACACAAAACCAGAACTAATTATAGAAAATAAATGGTCTTAATCTTGGTACATAAGGTTTATATTTCAAACAAATCATTTTTCCCCCTGCCAACTTTTACTTTGCAGCATTCATACTCGTACATAGTGATTGGAAATACAATAGTGTGGATGATATTGGTCTTTGTCTCCAGGGATGCATATGTACAACTTTTTAAATCATCTTTTCTAATTCCTTTATTACTTCCATTCTGAGTCTCAGGTGTCCTCTAATTTCTTGGCTGTAATCTCCATTTGGACTGATGATTGAACCAAGATATACAAGATCTTAAATTATTACAATTTCTTCATTATCAACATTTGTTTGTTTGTTTGTTTAACACCTATCTGGCTGAAGGCCACTCTGGGCAGTTTATGACATAAAAGAACAAAGAACAATCAAAATCAAATTATACTTATAAATCGTAGAAACAACACATCTATAACTTATACAATAAAAACAATCAAACAATTAAAATACATATAACAATACAGTAAATGATGACTTAACATATAAATTGGCAGTAATTATATAGTATTTTGGCTGTAGCAGCAATTTAGGTAAGCTCCATATATGGAATATTTTGAAATGCCTGCCAAAATAAGCTGTTTCTTGAAAATACCCAACGTAGGAGCCAAGCAAATAGTGGGTGGTGACTGATTCCACATCTGAGGAGTAACTACCAAGGAGGCCTGGCTTCTTCTTCTTTTCTTTGCAGGTGGGTCAGTATCTCCACCCATCCTGCCTGGGATGTACAGGTAGGACAGGCAGTCCCAGTGGGGAACAGACTTCATGGGTTAATACCATCACCTTGAAGCTGGGATGGAAATGGACAGGTAACCAATGTAAGACGGCCAGAACCGGGAACATATGTTGGTATATGTTGGCTCCACTTAGGAGCCTGGCTGCCATGTTCTGGACCTGCTGAAGTTTCCATACGAGCCTCATGAGTAGCCAGCCCAACATAGAGAGCATTAAAGTCCTGCAGTTCTTCTGCAGTCATGATTTTTGTCTTCTTGATGTTCACCTGCAGTCCTGCTTTGGTATGTTCTTCTTTCTCTTTCCCTAACAGTCATTTCAAGTCATTGCTTCTTTTTGCAAGTAAATTAACATCCATCTGCACATGTTAAATTATTAATGTTTCTTCCACCATTTTCACTCCTCCTTCATCTGAATCTAACCCAGCTGTCCATATGATATGTCCTGCATACAGATAGAATAGTTCAGATAAGGAGATAAAATGCACTCCTCACCTGACACTTTTGCCTATAGGAAACCTTCTGTCTCTCCATATTCTATCTGAACAGTAGCTTCTTGCCCACAATACATGTTGCACATCAGGACAGTCAAGTGCTGAGGCACACCTATTTCTTTCAGAACAACCCATAGGTATTCATAATCCATACAGTCAAAGGCTTTGTTATAGTCTATAAAGCATGGCCACGAAATTAAAAGACGCCTGCTTCTTGGGAGGAAAGCGATGACAAACCTTGACAAAATCTTAAAAAGCAGAGATATCACCTTGCCAACAAAAGTCCGAATAGTCAAAGCTATGGTTTTTCCTGTAGTGATGTACGGAAATGAGAGCTGGACCATAAAGAAAGCTGACCGCCGAAGAATTGATGCCTTTGAATTGTGGTGCTGGAGGAGGCTCTTGAGAGTCCCCTGGACTGCAAGGAGAACAAACCTATCAATTCTAAAGGAAATCAACCCTGAGTGCTCACTGGAAGGACAGATCCTGAAGCTGAGGCTCCAGTACTTTGGCCATCTCATGAGACGAGAAGACTCCTTGGAAAAAACCTTGATGATGGGAAAGTGTGAAGGCAAGAGGAGAAGGGGATGACAGAGGATGAGATGGTTGGACAGTGTCACCGAAGCAACCAACATGAATCTGACCCAACTCTGGGACGCAGTGGAAGATAGGAGGACCTGGTGTGCTCTGGTCCAAGGGGTCACGAAGAGCCGGACACGACTAAACGACTAAACGAAACGAATAAAGCATGGACTGATCTTCTGATCTCCAGTGCCTCTTCCTTTTAAAATCTAGCTCAGGCATTTCTCACTCCATATAAGGTAAACATTTTGTTGCAAAACCTGAGCATCATGTTGCTTGCTTGAGAAATTGCAGCAAAGGTCCTATAATTACTGCACTCCTTTGGCATCTCCTTTCTTGGGGTTTGAAACGTGTATTGAGCATTTTGTCTGTGGGCCATTGCCTTACTTTCTATATTTGTTGGCATATTCTTGTTAGGGTTTTGACTGATTCAGTCTCTGTGATTTAAAATAGTTCTGTTGGTATTCTGTGTACCCCTGGTAATTTATTTCTTCCAGTGCTTTCTGTGCAGCTTTCATTTCAGTTTTTAGAATTACAGGTTCTTCATTATAGGATTCCTCTTCAAATAAATCTGCCATTCTTTTATCTTTCTGTATAAGTCTCCAGTGTACTGTTTCCACTTTCTCTTTATTTTATTCTGGTCAGATACTGTGTTTCCTTATTGGTCTTTCTTGGGAGAGATGTTGTGTTTCTTCTCTTCTGTTGTTCTCTTCTGTTTGTTTGCACTGGCCATTATAATACTTCAGCATTGGACTTTCCTTTCACCTCTGTGCACATCAGTCACTAGACATCCTTGACATCT